CTTAAATATATATATCAGTTTCCATGTGCATATTGTGCAACTCTGTCAGATTAGACGCTGAATACTGCATATCAGTGGTTCTCAGAGTGCAGTCCGGGAATTTGTGTCCTCAAAACCTGTCCAGGTGACTGGCAAACTTAAAACTAACTTTGCTAACTCTTAAGATATGCCTATTCATTCTTCCTCTCACTACCTTCGCTTTCTAGAGGGTACAGAACGTGAGAACACAACCGTCTAAGTACAAAAGCAGGTAAGAGGATCCGCTGTCTTCTATTAAGCCAGACATTAAAGACACTAATTTTTGTTGTTTTAAAAAACTATTTCTCATATAAAAAGATATTTATATGTTAATAGAAATGGGTTATTTTTAATCTTTAAACAAATTACTGTCTAAAATATCTTATTTTTAACACAAAAGTTAATAGGTAAACATTTACACGGAAAAGCTCTTTCGAGTCTTAGATTTGTAACAGTGTAAATAAAGGGGCAATAAATCCAATGAGTTTGGAAATAAATGTTTCATATTGTGTGCAACTTATGACGTTGCAGTTCTATCACTATTCTCATAACAACTGAGAAGAAAACAGACACAGAAATAATTTGCACAAGATTACCCAAGGAGTCTCTAAAACAGCCTTTGACCCCCTCTTGGGTAAGCAACAGTATCTACCCAAGACCATCAGACAGTTAAAGACCACTCGTATATTCACACGTTAGTATCTGCTTAAAAAGCAATATTCTACACAGATCTGTATTCTTTGTCTTTCAGTCTCAGAAAGTACTATGTCCATTGCAATGTTTTAAATATATGGAATTAACTTTCCTCCAAATCAAACACTACAAAAATAAAATCCCAGCTGGATATGTTGGACATGCCTGTAATCCCAGCACTCTGTGAGACACAGGCAGAGAATGGTCAGTTTCAGCCCAGTCCAGGCAGCTTCGCAAGAGCCCATCTCAAAATACAAAATAAAAAAGAGCTGGAGATACAGCTCTGTATAATGACCCTGGGTGCAAGCCCCCATGCCACGAAAAATAGAAAGTGTTTAATGAAATCCCATCACCACCAATAGCACAAGCACCCAAGAAGAAAACCACTGGTAAGAGTTTGGTGCTCGTTTACCTAGAATTTACTTGTACACACAGGCATACATACTTTTATTTTTTCAGAGCCGGGGATATAGCTCAGTGGTTGTGAGTTCAATGCCTCATACCAAAAAAAAAAAAAAAAAAAAAAAACTTTTTATTTTTTCATCTGGATAAGGCCATTTGTGAAATGGAGTCACATGAATTTAACAACTTGTCTTATTTTACTTAATACCTTTTTAAGAATTTCCTGCAACTACAAATAGATTTACCACTTTTTACAGATCATTTAACTACACCCAACTGAAGTCTCCTATATGACTTACTTGCAAATTTTTTTTACTACAAAAAAAGTGCCAAGAAATATGCTGAAATTTGTTTGTGAAGTCATAGCTGCCAAAAATTCCTAGAAGTAAACTTGCTGTAAAGGATATAAACATTAAAAATCTTCATAGATTTTCCCAAATGTCCTCCAAAATGCCAATGCCCAATTTACATTCTAGGCAACTCCATAAACGATTTCCTCCACTAATGCAGCTTTTAAGTGCCTTAGGAAATTATATTTTGTGTTGCCTCAAAATGACAAGAAAGACTGTTCTCACTTGTCATCTTAATTCCAATCAACACCCTATACAAATAGCACTCACCATCTCTATTTTTTCCTTATACCTTTTAAATGCCCCAGAAGACAAAATAAACCAGGTACACACAAACCTTTAAATACCAACCCCTTGAATTTTAGGTGTCTAGATAAAAAGTTATCCAAATTATTTCAGAAGACACAAATCAGAACTGTGCAAAATAAAGTGAGGCTCACACACTTAAAGCGAAGTTGTCAGCATGGATTTATTATGCTTTATCTGCCCACTCAAAGGACTAAAGGCTACAAATAAAAAGCTATTAAATCATACCAGTGACCAAACTAGCTTACATAAAATAATAAGCAGATTTCATACCATAAATGTCAATGAAACAGACTGCACTAGTAAGAATGGCTGTAATTGCAAAGTTCACTGAAATTCATGTCAGATTGAAAATGAAAACATTAATATTTTAAAGGAAATGTTTTGAATGTGACTATTCATTTTAGTCTCATGAGATTAGTATAAAGCTTTGATGTTAATAAATAAAATAAAGTCTTTTCTTGAAAGTAGATCATTTAAAAATTCATCAAACTCTGACCTGCCTTTTCTGTATTGGTTAACGGGTATACACATCACTATTTCTCCAAAATCTCTTTCTCTAGGACTTTATAACAGTAGTTTTAAATTGAAGACTTCACACACATCTTTGTGACAGACCTATTAATTCAAATTCTATCAGTTCAGTTCTGAGATGATATATATAATTCGTATTCAGCAACAAGTTGAAATACTGTAATTCCTTCCTCGACAAGTTCTCATTCTATTATTGCAAAGTAACCTGAAAATCAATTTGCCCTCCTAAAACAAAGATTTATAATACCAGATTCATCCCCCTCCTGGCTCAGTTCTAAGGTCCATCTGTGCCTATCAGCTATTGTACATAGTGAGACTGACTTAACTCATCATTGTAATAACTATGTACAGTTTAGAGCATGAGCAATTCTTTCAAATACACTCAGATTTTCCCTCAAATTCATTTTTGTAGTTTCTCCCATTTCACATGGGTGAAATTGTATTCTATCACTTACAAATCCAAAACATCACAAAACACTGCGCCTTAAGAGTTACTACCAGAAGTGGCTTCAGAAATGCCTGGCATTCTTATTCTGCATTTATTTATCATTTTGAAAGACTTCATAAGCAGAATAGCAAGCACCAGGATTAAATGGCACGTGTGGTGTTGCCTGAACTTATAACTATTCCCAATGAGCAGAGAAACCTCCTCTTGCAATCTGAATCATGTGTAATTACAGTATGACAAGGTCTCTCCTGGGCGATGTAAGCTGGCATTTTTCCCAGGACTTGTCACATCATGGGAACCACACATACAAATAAAAACCCAAAAATAAACACTTTAAAACAATGGCTTCTAAACTGCATAAAGAAACTCCTCACTTAAGAATAAAAATTGTAGAGACCAAGGAACAGGCACCCTTCACAAAAGAGGTCTGCGAAGACCTCCCTGTTACCAAAGTGCTCACCACACCCAGCAACAACTCCCACATTTGGGTCATGCGGGCAGCATCCTCACGCTGCCTCAGGCTGCACAGAAAATCATTAAGTACAGGAAATAAAGGGAAACCTCACCACACACACACTCACTGAAGCAGAGGAATACTGGTCAAATGCAGAAGAGGCTGATCATCTTTAACTTCATAATGCCAATTTGTTGATTGTTAGGTGCCTAAACTAAGTTACCTTAAGAGACCTGATTTTCTAATATAGTAAACACTGCTTTTTGTTAAGTGCGTTTTACCTTGAAGAGAATAGCAGCCAAGTAGCAGTAAGTGTGTATGCCAAGGATCTTAGAAGGTGGTTGGTTTCTTTTGTTTAAATTCCTCTGCAATGGCTCTACAGACACAGGGAAAAGATTCCAAGAAGCACCATATCCAGTCTCCCACAGCGACAGCAACTTGACAATGCTCCTCCTTATCACAGCCATCCCAATCCATATTTTGATATAAAATACTAAGTATGAAATGTTATTTCCTGTAAGCCAGGCAGGCATACTCCCAACTTCTATTTGGAGCTGGCTGCATTTATTAACCATCCAACAAAGCCCATCAAATTCAACTGTTTAAGTTTTCAAGAGGTGCTACAAACCAAACGACTAACGGCACAAAAAACACAATCCTACTTCCCGTTAGGAGCACTGCAAAGCACCGACACGAACTCCGACCCCTCCTTTCTTTATTCATCCCCTGAATGTTCGATACTTTCCACATAGCTCCAAGCAGAATGAATTTATTATGATGCTCCTCTAAGAAACTGCAGGAGTTCTAGATGCCAATAAAGATTATGGATCAAATGGAAGATAACTACTAACCATTGTGTCAACTTAGATAAATAAACCTGCTCACAAACAAAGCACCTTATTGTATTTGTACTGTTACCTCCCCTAATCCAACTAAAACAACCAGACAGCAGCTTTCCAGAAGCTGAAAGCAACTGAAACAAAGATTACTCAAACCCCTTTAGATTTCTCTTTAAAATGACAACCCTCTTCTCTTTTCCAAAGCTGTCCTACTCTTTACGGAAAATGTTTCCGACTGCAGAAGCTCAGCAAGACTGTGCAAACTAGACTCCCGGGCTAAGAACAAGGTGGGGAAGGACAGAAGACACGGGCAACACACATCATTTCTCTGAAACTTGGCTTGCAATCTCTGAAGAACCCTCTCCCTGCGGATCGCATCTAGCAGACACTTCACAGGGCCGCTCAAAATCCCAGCAGCAGTCCCGCTCCATGGGGGAAAGAGGGCGGGAGGAACCAGCCCTCCAACTGAAACCCAGGCCGAGGTGGGGTGTGACGGGTCAGCGCCTCACCTCCCGAGAGAAGTCTTCGGCAACGGGGGTTCAGTGCTCCACACACAGAGGGGAAGGCAGACAAGACCCTAAAGAGAATCAACTTCTCAAGATGGAACAGTAACTACAGCCGATCAACACAGGTAGATTCCCGTTTCTCTAGGGGCGAAAAGGGGTAAACGGCTTATTCCCTACAGTCCCCGAACCTCCAAACCCAACGGCTAATTACACCTTCCCCCAGAGCCGCGCTAAGGCGGAGAGCCCCCGAGGGCTGGCCGGGGACGGACACGCGACGCCTGACAGTCCTTTGCGACAGTCCTTTCTCGCGGGGACCTTCCCTCTCCCGAAGTCGCCCCCGCGCAGGGGGCGGCCGGGGCCGGAGCGGCGCAGGGCAAGGGGCGCGGGCCGCGCCGTCCGCTCGCCGGGCAAAGGCAGGCTGTGCGCGCCGCTCTCGCACCGGAACCCTACCTCTTTTCGGCCTGGGAAAGCTTTCGTGCAAGTGGAAGACGACCTTCTCCACGAAGTGCTGTATGTTGCTGTGCTCCGGGCCGCGCACGAACACCATCCAGTCGTGCGTGAAGCCCTCCACGGTGGGCTTCTTCCTCACCTGGGCGCGGTGCCCCAGCTCCAGCTTCACCTGCACGGCACACTGCGGGCGGGGAGACAGCCGTGAACAGCAGGAAGGCGGCCGCGCCGCCGAACCTCGCGCCTGACGTTTTCTCCTCCTCGAAGCGCGCATGAAAGGGGCCGGCGGCGCCC